TTTTAGCATATTTACTGCAGACTGTAATGTAATGTATTGCAAGTTTCCACACCACCTTAGCTTATTAAAAGATGACAATGTATAATATGTCGCATTTAATGTCACATGAGGTATTGCAAGAGGCGCGTTTTTTTTATTGTGGTGTCCCCGTGTAGGCCTATTCCACAAAGCGGAGAATGGGAGTGAACTGCCGGCCAACTCAAATGAGAGTCAAATGTCATATCATTATTTTAGCCAATATAAAAATGCAGATTAATATAAATATAAATATAAAGATGATTTAATAATGTATCTTTTTGCTAACCACAATTCTCCCAATGTCCCCTGCATGTACCGTATTAAATTCAAAACGTGGATATCGTTATCGGTAGTCCTTAAAACGCTTAACACGAGACAAAAGAAAATAATTACAAAATAAATGTATTCTATATACACAAAATAAATAATTAGTTATATACTGAATTTAACACGGCAATATTATATTTCTACCTATACATAATTTAGATTATACATTMAATAAAAAATGTAATAATAGTAGGTAGCTACTATTATTGTATACTTTATCTATAGTATTACGCTATACTACTTATAGCTAATTGTTGTAAATTTCAGTTAATAATATTATTCCTGGAAAAAAAACAAACCAACAATAACTATAAACATRAACAAATAAAATTATCATCTACATAAAAATGATCAAACTCAGTAATAAAGTTCACACGACACGAGGAAATCATGGTTACCAGAGTACGCATTGGACAAACTAGACTCACACATTCCTTCTTATGTGTGAGAAGACCGAACACAATAAAATATAAACAATACCTCACTCAAAAAAGCATTCGGCTATGGATAAGAAAAAAGAATAATCGATTTCATCAAGATTGCTGAGCTCGCATATTATTTCTAAAAATAAATTAAACTTATAGCTTACCTATACCGGCCAGTATGGCTACTACCACTATTATAAATGTCAATTGCTTTTCTTTTATCCTGCAAAGCTTTATAAGTTATTATAACGTTAATTGAATAATTAAAATTTTATTCACGTACCATTTTTAATCCAGTTWAATTTTTTTCAATAAAACCATAGCTTGATGATTTGTATATTTAGAAAAAGCAATACATCTGAATAATATAATCGT